ACCAGAACAGCAAACTCCTCCTAAAATATTGCATTCCAACTCGGTATTTCCGGCACTTGACAAAAATGAGTTAATGAGTTTATAGTATTTCAAGAAGAATGCCGCAAAATCTGATCCCGTAACTAGAACTCTCTCCATTGTACCCTGCTCCCCTTCCCTTCATCCCTCTGAGCATTCCTCCCTTTCCTCCGTTCATTTTCTTTCGCCAAATTTTTAGGCCAAGCAATATTTTACATTCATTGGAACTTCCACGATTAACAGAGAGTTGGACGAACGGCAGGTAGATACTTGCTGGAATAGCTATTAGAACCATTTCCTAACGATGGCAAGTGGAAGGGTCCGTGAGAGGATAAGAAGGAAGACTAAAAATAATGGAATGACAGGTTGATAAGAATAAAGAACGTCAGCAACTCGTTGACAATTCATTTGACAGCTCGAGAGCAAGAGAAAGAGAGATTTGAATTCACAAGGTCATAGGTGATCATATTATTCAGATTATCCCGGCCTTCTGTTTGTTCAACACATCCTGCTTCAACGAAAACAAATGATGAAACATATTTGCTCAATTACCCAAAATAATTCCAAAAACTCCGGGAATCTATCATTCTACACTCAGGAACTACCTCACTTCCCCCTCCTCCACCGATATATATATCAACCAAGTCTCAAACTACCGTACCCACTGATCGGATCGCGTGTTTTCTTGTCAAGATCATTAATTTGATTGAATAGCTCATTTTTGTTGATACATAAACTGCCCGAGGACGTCAGCAAGAAATTGGAATTTTCAGGGAGACTCTCTGGAAAACTTATTTATGTCACCAACTCGACAACATTCTCGCGGACTCACTGCTCGAGAATTCCTTCATAAATAGCAGCAGATAGATTAACATCTGTATTGGAAGCAATCGACAAAATATCGCGTGGTTGTTTGTCATCTGATGTAAGTTATTTCATATAATGATTTAGCACAGACGATTGGGACAGGTCTCGAGTTATGGTGATGGGGAAAGTTTGATTTGGGACATGCTAAAAGTTGAACAGTTTTACTATAAAACATTATTGGTGGCTGTAAGTTCGTTGAAATTTGCAATTAAAATAACTCATTTAGTTGTTTGCGCCAAAATGATTTCCCCAATTAAAATTTGGAGGAAATTGAATCACGAAAGTCGGCAAATGGTATGCAATAGTGTTTCACAATCAACAAAAAGAATTAGAAATTTATTAAATTTTGAAATTTATTTTTTGGTTTGAGAAAAAATTATTTTTCAATTCTATCATTTTTTTGCTTACCATTTAATTTGGAAAGATTTGCTTGCCGGTTCAGAAACGTTCATTGTTTTATCCATTTTACTAACATTAATCTTTGCTGCTATTCTTAAACGATGAGATTTATTGAATGGCTATATGGTTTCTGCGGTAAATAATTAGCTGATAAAATTAATTAATAATTCTATACTTTAAAATTTTGTTCGCTTTTCAATCTCATTTTTATCAAGGAAGACTTTCGTGCCATTAATTTTCATTAATTTATTTCAGTTTCTTTACTAACATATCTTCTAAAAAATCTAATCAAGTTAGAACAAAACATTTTATTACTTTTAATAAAAAATGAATATCAATGAATCGTAATGATTCTAAAAAAGATCAGCAGTGTCATCCTTCGGCAATGACACATTTTTTTTTCAATTATTCGAGAGTTATGTCAAACATTGCAGTTCGTGTACTTTCAATATCGTATTATTATCGCTGTAACTGCTGCTTTGTTTGCTATATTTCCACAAGCTTATTTATCAGCACTTCGAAATCAACAATATAGCAGGTCACAAGGTCCATTAAGCCAATTCAAAAAAAAATGTGAAATAGAGTTGTTCAAGTAGGAATTCAATTCAAGTACAATTGAAGAAGATTCATCAATAATGCTTTTTGCTACATAATCGATCGAGAGAAATATCGAACAGTCAATTTGAAAAAAAAAAAAAACATCTTTTTCTATTATTTTGCTGAGAATATAGTATCTTGCAGTAAAGATGATATAGATATTAATTTCGTTTACAAGCATCTTTGCATGGACACTACAAATGATATCAATATACTTTGCGATGACTTATCGTTCTTATTTACCGCGATCTCGAAAGCGGAAAGCAATGTCAGGAGCTGCTCCCAAGAAAAAACTAGAAGAAAGTGCAATGATATCAAATGTGGCGGAATTGCAATTAAAACCAGCTCCCGAGAAAAAATCAAAACCATTATCCGGAGGAGAGTTGCAACCAGTTTCTGAGAACAAAGATGTGCAACCGGTTCCTAATGAGAACCACAAAAACCACTTTTTGCGAAACATCAGCAACCGGTTTCAGCGCCATTTGCAAGTGATAAAACTAACGACCAAGCAAAATAAAAAGCACTAATGGAAAAGTAAACAAACTCATTGGGGTTTTAACTTGAACTGCGACGAAACTTGTCTTTATGTTGGAAAATCGATTCATACGCAAAAATCCTCTCGCATGCGGACGGAATATAATTTGTTTTATTTCAACTCAGTTCAATCGTATTCATTTGCCTACAAACACCGAAAAACTTATCAGATTTAGATTCGAAATGTTTTGAGTATTTGTATGATTTTAATTTGTTTTATTTAGACAAAGATAATCCTAATTTGTTTTGTAACTTATTGCTTGCTTTTTCAAAAAAGAAAAACAAAAATTCTTGTACAATATGCCATTCGTCTTCATTTTCTAAAAATGCAGCAATGCAGACATAAATCCAGTGCAAGTATTTCCAAAAAATTCTACATTCTAATCTTCTTCATTTGAAACGAAGATTGATGGTAAGATGTAAAATGTGACACTTTCACATTTCAATGGATTTCAGAATTGTAATATTTGATTGATTGAAAAAATATTACAATGTTCATTAATATGTTTAATCAAGTCAGAAGAGAGCTGTCAAGTTTAATTATCCTTTAGAAGATCAAAAATTGCTTCATAAAGATTAAAAGATTAATCGATTATTACACATCTGAATTTTGAACACAACTATTCTCTTGGCTACAGTCATTCGTACCTTGGCCCTCTATCGAAGTGACACTTCTAAATGAAAGTGAATACATTTCCGTTTATCTGGTATATTTTCGCTTTATTAATACTTTCAGTTGTGAGTGTTGAAAGACTTAAATGCACAAAAAAAAAACATAAACATCCAATTTCCGTTGCCTAAAGATGTCCAATATTTTTCATTGAAATGATTTAATTTAAATTGAATCATTATATATTGCAGATGTTAAATGATATAAGACATTCTGCATAACAATTACACAACTGACAAAATTTTTTTCTTTTTATAATAAAATTTCTAGAACTGATAAATTTATTTACAATAAATTTTCTATGCAAATAATTTCCAAAAAATTAGAAATAAAAAACATAATATGCTATAACGTAAGTTTTCAAAAGCAATTTTATGCAAATACTATCTTTAAAATTTCACATGAAATTTTTGCATAGTGGAAAAATGATGTCGGATGAAGAATTAAAAAAGGAAAATATTGGTTGAAATATCATTTTCTTTTTGTTATCCAGTTGTGAGGTGTTTGTTCCTTCGCTATCTGTTCAATTCAAAAACAAAATTTCTACTTTCTCTAATTAAATGGTTCAATTATTGTGGCTTTTTTTTCGTGAAAATAATTAAAATTCGGGTCAGGTCAAGCTACAGTTTGTTGTTTCACTGTATGGTAAAGTTGCTAAAAGAAATTTTTAATTTTAATCCAATAATAGGTGGGATGAGGAATGCTCAACATGAAGAAGAAAGCAAAATTACTGATGATTTGTTAAGAAGTGTGCAGGATGAACTGTATTACCATGGATTTCTTCCTCGTGAAGATCTCTCATCTTTGTTAGAGAAGGTTATTAGCAAAAAAAGATTGAAATAATATCTTTTCAAGTTTTTTCATTACTACTCTCTTAACTGGAAAGAATATGATGAAAAATTAAGACCAAATTCTGATTTCTAACTAATTTAATTAAGCGAATTATTTATTTAGTTTAATTCTTCATTTTTGTTTTTCTCTAACCTTTAACTTCAATAATGCAATTTGTCAGCAATCTCTTTTTCCTATTTGCATTTGAAAGTGATCTTGCAATTCCAACGTTTCATTTAATTGTGATAGGAAAAAAGCAACTTTGTATGCAAATATTATGAGTCTTAAAAATTGAAAAATACTAAATTCACTCATACAGGTGGGAGATTTCCTAATTCGAATTACTCAGATGAAACCATGTGATCCATGTGAACTCATTTTATCACTGCGTGTTTCTGACAATGATTCACCAGCTTCAGTATGTCCAAAATAATCTTTTTTTTTAATTCAAGTGGTAAATCTGATATACTTATTTTTAAATTAAATCACAGTTTTAGCGTATGTAATGGAAAATTTCAAATGATTATAGTATAAAATCATAATTCTAAATTTCGCCATCTAATCTTGAAATTTAATTTTAATTTGAAATAAATTACAGATTAGACATGTGATAATACATAGGGTGAAAGGGAAGGAGGGAAAAACTGAATGGCTAACAAATCAAGAAAATAAATTTGATTCTCTTAAAGAACTCATTGATTCATATATCTCTAGCAAAAAACCAGTCAATCCTGAGGTATGACACACAAATCTTCCTGTTTTTTTTTGAGCATCAAATCAGAAATTAAAATGCTATAAATTATGCTGAAATTTGCTACAGTAACGGATAGTAAAAAGAGGGTGTGCCGATAAATTTTTTGAAAGTTTAAATCACTCAAACTCATAAATTTTTGTAAACGATAAATGATAAAATTGAAGCTTTTTTCTCGAAACATTATATAAATCTTTGTCATTTCCTATCAAATTTAAATTATTAACAAATTATATGATTAAATTAAATTTATTTTTTCAATTTAACAGATAAAAACATCTCAATTAATTCGGCCAATAGCACGACAACCGTGGGAATTTTTACATGAAAATATTACATTGAAAGAGATGATTGGAGAAGGACAGTTCGGTGAGGTTCGAGCAGCTGAAGCGTTAATAGATGGCAAAAAAATACCTGTAGCTGTTAAAATTGTAACTGTTTAAAATTTTCTATAAATTTTTTACATTGTGAATTCTACGCTACGAGTAATGCTTTGATTAGTGGATATAAAGGAAAAAAGGCAACAAAATATAACAAATCATTGCTATTTAATAATGTCATAATTTGAACATATGAAAATTTATACAATGCTAACAAGATGTTGAAATTTTGATCTCTAACATTAACTTAGTACTATGATAAATAAATCATCTGGCATTACTTTTAATTACTGAACCTTATTGATCATATATTTTTAGGCAAAAACAATAAAAGATCAGAAGCATATGCAACAGGCAAAAGAAAAAACACGGGAAATGATGCATGAAGCAAGATTAATGCGATATTTTGATCATGAAAATGTTGTAAAAATCCATGGCGTTGCTGTTTGTCGTCAACCATTGATGATTGTCATTGAAATGGTTTAATTAAGCTTACAATATAATTTTTATTCGATAGCTAAATTTTAAAATAACTAAGTGATACATCGCTAAAAATAGGCAATGCAAGAGTATAATCAATCTAATAAATCGTTTTAGATAAACGGTGGTTGTTTAACGGAAGTATTGGAATCTCGAAAAGGGGATATTAATGAGAATGAAAAAATTGAAAATATGTCACTCGGATCAGCCCGTGGTCTTGAATATATTCATGCGCAAAAAATCATTCATCGAGATATTGCGGCTCGTAATGTATTGTATACGAACGATCGGGTAGCTAAAATTAGTGATTTCGGGATGTCGAGATATGGCGAGCTTTATGCGATGTCAAAAGGGAACAAGAAGGTACCATTGAAATGGACAGCACCGGAAAGTATGGTAACATATCAGTACACACCTAAAACGGATGTCTTCTCATTCAGCATTTTGCTATGGGAAATTTTTTCGGATGGTGAAGAACCGTACAAAGGGATGACAAGCATTGAAGTAAAACGAATGGTTCGTTTTTTTTTTTTATTAGTAGAGAGAAATTTCTCTTCACCCAATTGCACTATTAATGCTCCGTAATAATTGCTGAGAATACAGTAATGTAAAGATTTGACTTTTATTCTCATTTTTTTTCGTTGGTAGATTTCATGTGGTGAACGTTTGGAAAAACCGGAAGGATGTCCTAATTTGATATATCAATTAATGACGAAATGTTGGGAGCAAAATCCAAATAATCGATACACTATGTCAGAGGTTAATCTAATGATTTCCGTATCTCTTGATCTTGATCGATCAATAGAATGCTTCTATTTTTTATCCGGATCCTAATGATATCAAATTTACCCTGCAATTTCTACAGTTCAAACAAATAACAAAAATTTTTCTAAATATCAAGTTAATCAGAGACATCTTTTATATTTAAAATTTTTTGTAATTTTCATTGATTTCTTTATAATTTTTAATAAATTTTTAGCGTTTAATTTTTTTGCAATTTTTGAAAATTCTCCGTTTTAACTTCTCTGGTTATTTAACTTTCAAATTAAATTCCTCACATTGTTCAGTCATCGAAAGACGAGTTTGTAGGTGGTAAAAATACTGGAAGAGTTGATAGAACACAGGCGTACGGAGGAATCAGAGATTTATAATTTACATTCTGCAGAGAAAATTAATTCAAAAGATGATATAGATGACTCGGATGAACTTTCCCGGAGTTCCATTTCTCAGGTATTTTATTTTGACGCTAATTATTTGCAGAAATTTTTCTTCCACCAATTTTATACTGTTCCATTTATTTCCGTTACCATTTTCATCGGGCATTTAAAAGTATCAGTATTTAAGAAACATGAATAAAAACTAATTTTTTTTTCTTATAAGTGCAAACTTTTTTTTTTAACTTTACTTTGATGTTGCAATAATTATTCGTAACAAAACAATCTATCGTGAAAATATTATATTGTCATTTATTTATCTGTTTGTTTTTTAGCTAATGTAATGAATATTTTTAAAAGTAAGTTTTTTAGAATAAGTCAAAACGAAAGAGACATCACAAACACAAAAAAAAGCAGAAGAAGTTACGATCGCGCAGGAAGTTAGCTGAAAACGAAAAGTATATGCTTCTGTATTTTTATCTTGTTAATTGATTTCCATTAATTTCAGTTCAAAGAGAACAATTTATTTATAATACATTATTAATAACATTTTTAAATGAACGAACCAATTTTTCTTCTATACCAAATTGTAAAATTGTATAAAAAAATAAAAATTTTGTTACTTTTCAGTGAACGGAAGAGATCAAAATCACGACATCAGCATATAAAATAAATGTATAATACATCATAACAATTGATTAAATCTTAAAGAAAGATTTGATTTGGACTAATGTTGAAAAATATGCATTTGTGATTAAATTTATGATAAAATGAATTAATTGCGTTAGCCAAGTAAATTCTGAAAATTGATTTAAAAAGTTTTACGAAAATGAAATAAAGCATCTGAACCTAAACATATGTAAAACAATTGAAAATTTAATTCACTCTTCAACATTTCTGATTAATTTTTATTCAATCATAAATTTTTAGCTTCAGCGCAAAATCTGTTTCAATTCAAGTATTCTAAGCGTTTTCCATTCCTATAACTTTCTCATTGAATTTTCTAGAAATGTTGCATACGTACATATACTCTCTTACGTATTCCATATACTAAAACACTTTATGAGTATTAGAGGTTGAAATGATTGATTTAGCAATAAGTGTTAGAAATCGAAATGATTGATAATGCTAATGAGCAAAGCATAAATAGCTTTCATAGAAGAGAGTTTAAAAAATTTGCTACATCCATCACTACTAAACTAAACATACACAGTCAATAAAATTGAACAATTTGTCAAAGATTGCTTCATTTTCACTTTTTCAATCAGTTTCGTTTAATATCTTAAATTTCATGAAATTTATTTACTCTATGCATGTGCTATCAATAGTATTTCATTTATGACAATGATTAGTGAGTACTGAAGTAGAGAAGTACATAGGTTAGAATCTAAAGTATAAAAACCAATTTGACCTTAGTTTCACTAGAAACAGATGTCATCTGAACTATGGATGAATTAAAATGAATAAACTAAAATTAATGATTTGATGACTGCCATTAAAATGCCGTTATATACAAATACAAATCATAATGGTAATATATGAGCAGGTAATTAATCTCGTGAAAATTAATCTAAAAGTTACAGGTGTTTCGGAAAGAAATTATAAATACTCATTATAGTATTTTATAAAACTTTCACAATTTCATTGTGTGCGGAACATCTTTCTAGGAAGTTCAACATTTCAAAAAAATGAGTTAGCAATTTCTAAAATTCAAATTGCCAATTTAGTTTTTCGAACATGAACAACACTTGAAATCAACGGTTCTTTTTTCAAGGAGGCCAAAATTAGCACTGATTTTGTGACTCTCATAAATATTATCATTTTCAGGAAATGTTTCAATACTCGGTGTTGTTATTTACAATATTTCATATGCTGTCGGAATCCGATAGAATTCTTGAAAAGATGCAAACCATCGCAATCCGAGGACAATTAAAATGTGGTGAAAAAAATGTTGTCAATACAACAGTTATTTTAGGGATAGACATCAGATTTGGTTGGTTTCATCAGAATGAATTTTTTGTAAAATAAATTTTTGGGAAATTTGATGCTTTTAGAGTGTGAAAATTTACATTCATTTTATAATCAATCCTTTGCTGTTTAACTATTTATTGTTTAATTATTTATTGTTTAACTATTTTTTCATTATTAATTATTTTAAAATACAGTTTTTATTTCAGCATTTTTTTTTCAGCTTCTTTTTAAAAAAATATTAAAAATCATTTTCTTATCATTTATTTCTCATCAGTCACTTTCTTATTTATTGAAAAGGCGAATTTTAATTCCAAAAATGAAATAATGCTATATATCTTACTTTTCATTTACATATGCTTTAACATAAATGAATATTTTTCTTTATATCTTGAGTTGAGAAATTTTTGAATGGAATATTTATTATTATTTTATATATACATACATATATTCGATAGTTCAAATACAGTCATCTTTCTAGTTAATGAGCAAATTTTGGCAATTGCCAGAACAAATACAACAGGATGGTTCGAACTGAAAGCAACTATTATATCAGCAGATATTGTTAGACCATTTTTTTATGTCAAAGTTGGTCAATCAAGTGGAATTAAGGTTCATTTTATGCGACGTGTTTTTGACCAAAGAGTTGTTAACTTTTCTTTAAGCATTTCAAACGAGAGCATTATAATCTAGTTGGCTTACTTTAATTTTTTTCTTTCTTCAGCATTGCTACCTGGAATTGTAATTAAAAAATTTGCAGTGCAGTCAACGTTACAAACAAACGGTGCCATATGAATTCATAACAAAGTACGGTCAACCGGAACGATGGTATGATGTTGGCATCATCAATTTACAAGCCATTTGTGTGAAATTGCCAAATGAAACAAGTTGCGGGAACAATAATTTCTAACGGAAAATCACAAAAGTCATTTATTAACTCATTCTCAACTTCTTTAAAAATTCACTCAATTTATTTCACTTGAATTAATATAACTTTTCTAAAATTTCGATGCAATTTTGAGGAACAGGAAATAAAACATAAATTTCCTTCTCCTAGATGATGGACAATTTGATGACATCAAATCAAATGTTTCTTGAATACTTTATTTTAAGAAATACAAATTTACAAATTTGTCCAGTATATGAGGGATCACAAAATAAAATACTTTACAAACTTGTGAAGTCTACAAGAAATCACAAAGTAAAATATTTCATATGATTAATCAAAATATCCAAATTTTGCTAGAAATCTCAAATTACCTCTTTCTTCAGGGATAACAATACATGACGACAACTGAGGAATACAATACATAGAAAGAATTGGGAATAATTCCCTTTGAAACTTTTGCGAAAATGAAATAATGAACTCAATAAGAACTCGTTAACTGCAGTATCCATAGCATCAAATGCAACAAATGAAATAATGGAACACGAATATGTGCTTGAAATTTCTTAATTTCTAGCAAAAAATAACGATAAAAGTTGATGAAATGAGAGATTGGCATTGCTTCCTAAAAGGGAACATATTATCGGCTGCGAATAATTTAAAAAAAGATATCGATTAAAGCTCCAAATACCCACCGAATACACCTTGTTTTTTGAGAGTCATAAAGCTCAAATCATCTTCTTGTTTCTACTATAACAACAGTCTAAAATACAAACCTGGAATAATTTTAAAAGCTGACGTTCATATCTCGAATGATCAAAAAAGCAAAAACTATCGGAAGCTGCAAAGTACTTCCATAGAACATTTCTGGCCATAAAAAAAGATTAAATATGAATTTTCAATTACAAGAACGACCTGCTTTGCAGTACTTTCAACCAGTTTTCAACAAATCACTACAACAGCTTTCAAAACCGCTTTGCAACATTATGACAATCAGATGAAGACACAATGAACGGCTGCACCAGATGTTTTTAATCCCTTATTCGAATATTCCTTTCATCCGCTTCACATAAACTTCTATCAATTTCTGCTACAAAAAATCCTTTCTTAACATTTTTTCACAAAATTAAATCTTCGTTACACTAATTACAATTGATACGACCTAACAAATTAATAGATCAACAACCAAATATTGAATCAATTTTTCTTCTTTTGTCTCAACAACTTCCAAACCAACCGATGCTCTTTTCTATTTTGAAATATACGGATTTTGAGACTCACGAGAGAAAAAAACTTACTTTTCCCTTATTAAGTTCTGATAAATATGGTGCCATTTGTTCTTCTCCTACAAGCATAATCATTGCCACCAAGCATACAACGCTTTCTTTACGAATTGAACTACTCACATAATTATACGTCTGAAAATAAAATATTAACAAGTATAGCAAAATTATATAACTTATTAGTTATTTTAAAAATGATACGTAAATGTAGATGGCAAATATTACGATGGATAGCAAAAATAAAATAAGGGACAAATAAATAACTCTCACTGAGAACCATGCACAAGCATAAAAATATTACAAAAATCAGTCTCAATTTGTGAAAGTTCTGGTCTGTTAGGTTTCGATATTTTCAAAAACTAACGTCAACAATTGGTGGTGCTACTTCATCCAGGATTAACTCTAACTCAGCGGCACTAAGTGATTCAATCACTTTTGTCAATAACTTGATAGCAATATGAATTTTTGGCTCGCCAACATCCGATTTAATAATAGCAAGGAGTACTCGTCGACATGTTGCTGATGAAACATGTGTAGCTAACACGCCGCCACATTCTTCTGCCGCAGTTACTACCTCAAAAAAAATCATATAAATTTTGAGAAAATTATATTGAAATCATATCCTTCTTATTTAAAACATTCAATTCACGTCAAGTATATATGCCCAAGCATCGCCTTTTTCATCATCATTCAATAAATGAAAACAATCAACCAACTCTTTTTTCTTGAATCAAAGGCAGTATATTGTTCTGACGTTGCACAATATGAAATTATTTGCATCAGTGTTAATTGCAGCTGTTATATTTTTTACAGCGAATGTTTTAAAGCAATAATGTGCTAAACTTCGCTAATACAATCAGCGAGAAATCTGATAGGAACCTTAATTGACAACATAAGTGATATGTTTGTAACAGATATGTTTTCTTAATCGTAAAAGTTTCATACTTACAAGTTTCGATTCATCCGTACAAGCATCGAGAACACGCATTAACGCCATTTCCGCAAAATCATTGAAACGAGAAGCTTGTGCATAACTAAAAAATTGAAATGCTTTAGCGAAAGTAATCAAATATTTATGCATAGTGACAAATTAAAATTTGAACTTATACTTCAAGAGTCAGAACATAAAACCTCGAAACGAGATAATATGAAAGACTATAAATTAAAGGTACTCTTATAATATATA